GTAGTGAGTGAAGACGGATCGAAAAAAAAAACCCAATCTTTGAATGGACTGGAACTTCAAACTCAGCTCCGGGTATTTGTCTGAATTCGAACAAGAATCTGTGCCTGATTTATCCCCAATCGATGGCTCGATCTCGTTCGGTGGGTCATCGTCACCAAGATTCCAGCCAAAAGGGGACTTCTCATTTGATCTGAAGCTTGGAAGAAACATTGGAAGCTCCTCCTCTGCTTTTGGTAATACAGAGCAAGTCATAAGTCTTAGTAAGTGGAAAGAGAGATCTATGGCAAAACCAGATGTTTCAAGAGCATCTGGATCATCTTCATCGTCCAAGAGGACAAGAGGAAATGCTGTCGGGAACAACCAGATGCCGATTTGCTTGGTTGATGGATGTGATTCTGATTTTAGTAACTGTAGAGAGTATCATAAGAGACATAAAGTCTGTGAGGTTCATTCCAAAACTCCTGTGGTTACAATCAATGGCCATAAGCAGAGGTTTTGCCAACAATGCAGCAGGTAACTGATACAACTCCGATTTTGTTTTTTTTAAGGTTTTGATTGTCTCATCGAACTTTGTTTTAGCCATGGTAAGATTATGTTGCAATTGTTTAGTGATACATTGGTGGTAATAAGTTGGATATTGAACATTGTGCATTATCAGGTTTCATTCCTTGGAAGAGTTTGATGAAGGGAAGAGAAGTTGTAGGAAACGTCTCGATGGACACAACCGTAGAAGACGGAAGCCTCAGCCTGATCATATATCCCGTCCTGCAAACTTCTTCACCGGTTTCCAAGGTTTCTGTTTTAAGAAAACTTGGTTTCATAGATCCAATAGACTTGTCCAAATTAATAAAGAGGCATCATTTTTCAGGTACCAAATTGTTGGACTTCTCAGGCGGTTCACATGTGTTTCCAACTACATCTGTTGCTAGCCCAAGCTGGGGAAATGGTCGTGTAAGCGTCGCTATGGGCAATGGTTCGAGTTACGGGCAGAACCAGGGCTTTTCTGGTTCTGGTTCTTCTCCTGCAAAGACAGGAATAATGTTCCCAATCTCTTCTTCTCCAAACAGCAGTAGAATCGCAGGGAAACAGTTCCCTTTCTTGCAAGAAGAAGAGAGCTCGAGAACTGCATCGTTGTGTGAGAGAATGACGAGTTGCATCCATGACTCCGATTGTGCTCTCTCTCTTCTGTCATCCTCCTCGTCAGTCCCTCATTTGTTTCAACCGCCACTTTCTTTGTCCCACGAAGCAGTAGAGACAGTTTTTTATGGATCGGGATTGTTTGAGAATGCGAGTGCAGTCTCTGATGGATCGGTTATATCTGGTAATGAGGCCGTGGCTCTTCCACAGACGTTCCCGTTTCACTGGGAGTAGAAGTAGGTAGATAGAATCCGAAAGATGTGTGTATGTCTTTCTCTTCTCTCTCATTTTTCAATGTACTAGATCATTGTTCTTGTTAAATGCTGAACTGTGGGTGGTCATGGACAACCAACTACTTGATGTGTCCCACTAGCACCAAGTTAAGAGCTAAGTTCAGTAGATAACTCTTTATGTACACACATTTCATATCCAGTTCTAAAAAAATCTTAATCATTTAAAGAATCTTAGATTCAGCTAAGTTCAGTAGATAACTCTGCAACCGCTCATGCTGAATTTAAGGACTATCTCGTCACTCAGTTTCACGGTCATCATGTGGAAATCAAAGGATCAGTCTGTGTTGTGGCAAGAACAGTGCACAAATTTGTTCATGGCTCCTTTCTTCTCAGGGTTGTGAACCCCAAGATTCGTGCAAGTCTTGTCATTCGTACCATGCATGTAGAACATTGCAAGATACCCCATAGCGTGATGGTCTCCCTCCGCAGTCCCTGACCAGGCTCCTCTTACCTCAGCCTATATATTCTTTCACAGAGCCAGCTTAAATCACATCGCATGGATAGTGGGAAAACATATACCTCTAGCACCTGAAGCGGAGGGGAAAGACTTTTGATGTTGCCAAAATCCTAGTTAAAGTCAATTTCATGGAGTTATATAGTAATGGAACTGATTCGAAATCAAAGTTTTTTACCCTTTGTTTGCCCCACGGTGTGAAGATTCTAAGGAATTCAGACACGAGAAACTACACTGTCATGGAAAATTGCCATCGCCTCCACTTCCTTATAGGAAAAGTATTCATTCTCGGAGTCGGCATGCGTGTGGCTGTGATGAGGACATCCAATTAGAACCAACTCAAGACATTTCGTTTGTATCTGATATGACCATGAGGAGATCTATATAATTCGGTCTCATTCGAAACCAGTTTAATGTTTCGTAGAGAAGTTACTTGGATAGTAAGATGAGTTATTTATTTAACATTTTACCCCCCAAAAAAAAAAAAGAAAAGATGAGTTATTTGGACAGAAAGACGAGCAATGATTAGTTGAATTGAAGAACCAAGAGATTCATTATACATGCCTACGTTCGACTGTTCGTTGGCCTGTCTTTTTTGGCTAATTTTTAATAACATATTAAATATTTATATAGTACTAATTTTTATACTAATTTTTTAATTGGTCAACTCTCCACTTTGTCATTACTGGAAATTTCCGAAGCAAGTTTCTTATGCATTGCAATTTACAATTTACTGGGAACTTGATAATTCAAGCTTGTGTCTCCTTTTTTTTTTTTTTGTTGGCTCATCTCAGTTCTCAAGTTGTGAAATCATTATATCACGGTACAAATAATAAGTACACATATAATAACTACTTGAAGAAGGAAAAGCTGATGATAAACAAAACAAAAGGTAAAAGCATACATAAGAAAAATATGAAGTAGAATTTTAAGTGCCAGGAAAATGGATGACTACGGTGAAGACGGTGACGAGGCCGAAGTAAATGAAAGAGTGGACAAGGATTGAGCGACCGCTCGTCTCGAACTTCCCGAAGTCTACAAAGTTATTGTTGCCGGGAACCTGAAACACCAATCCCGGCGTCAGAAAAACGAACAGCCCCGTCGCTATAATCGCCGGTAACCACTCCGTCATCATTAATGTCTTCTTCAAAGCTTTCCTAACCAGAGAGCAAGAGAGAGAGAGGGGGTTGAGACATACGTTATATTAATAGGGAGAGAGAAGTTCAGTTCTATTTAGTTAAGATGGTATTGAACCTTCGTTGTACACTCGTAGTTGGTGAAATGGCATAATACTTGTGACGTGGTCCAAGCGTGGTTTGATGACTTTGGTTTATGTCTCGAGAGATTCGCTAGACGATGGTTGGGTGGTCTCTTTCGTCTATAATATTGTTAAATCATTAGGTCTCGTTGACTATAACAAGTTGAAACTTCCTTAAGCAGGTAAATGAAGGCTGGGGTATTGGTATACAGATGATAAGCGATTATATATTAGTATCACAGTCA